CATATATGCAGATATGAAAATTTTCCCCCATAAAAAAATTAAAGTTCATAATTCTAGATTTCAGAATACAAAATAATATGAAAATAAGGCAAAAATTTAATCTTAAATATTACCTAATTTACAAAGCAAACTTTATAGGAATAGTGTGCTCAAAGATAATCTATGTAGTAGATAGTCAATTCACTTGTGCTGATTGAAAACTAGATTATAATTTCTATTTCCATTCACATAGGAATATTTTATGTAGTTTCACTAGAACACTATTTATTAAAAATAAAACACGTGCACTCCTAATCTAGGGATGAAGTTGTGGAGCAGAGGTTGGTATAGACTGCTTGAAGAAAAATAATGACCTAATCCATGTATATGAGATGGAGGAGGTGTTGTTGAAAGATAATTCTAAGTGTGTGCTCACTGGGGTAATAGTTTACCCTGGAGAAATGTGGGCAAATGCATAAAAATCTCTGCTCCCTGGCGTCCATCACTCAGGACTCCTCCTGTGACTCATCCCATTCTAGACCTTGAAGACATATGAAGCAGTAGAGTGAGTTATTTATTCATGTGGGGTAAAGTTTCAGGGGACAAAAAAGAAAAGTACCCCATACAGACTAGACATTTAAGGAAATTAAGTAGGTATTTAAGGACCTTTGTCTGGAGTTACATAGACAGAAAAGGAGAGACCAGAGTGACAAATATTAGTGGTGCTATTGGTGTCATGTGCCTTCGAGTTTGTTCTAATGTATAGCAACCCTATATAGGGTTTCCAAGTTGCAGCAGGTGTGTTTGAACTGCCTACCTTGTAATTACCTGTCCAATGCTTATCCTACAATGCCACACCAGGACTCTAGGTGGTTCTAGTAGAGTGAAAAGTAGTGTCTGAGAGGGGACTATGTTGAAGGTTTCTGGCTGTGCCAAGGAGCTCTGCGGCCCTCAGAGATGGTTTAGCTCAGCCCCAGGTTCTGACCACTCTAATATTCTGCTGCTTCTTTGCTTCCATCTAATATTTGTATTTTCTAGGCTCTGGATGTTCAAAGATGATAAACAAGTTTCAAAACTCATTGATTTCACAATAAATAAATGGAATGTTAATGCTTAGACTCCTTATTAAAACAGAGGAAAAGAATGACTTTGGGAGATGTGTCTCACACATGCATAGTTAACATACTGGGCAGGTGGTTTGTTGTTGTTATGTGCCATCGATTCCGTTCTGACCCATAGTGACCCTGTGTAGGGTTTCCTAGGAGCAGCTAGTGAATTTGAACCACCAACCTTGCAGTACAAACAACTCTGTAGTCTGGCGCATTAACCCACAGCACCACAGCAGGACTCCTGTCAGATTGTTGTTGATAAGTGCCATCGAGTCAATTCTGACCAACAGCAACCCTGTATAGAGTTTCAGAGAGATGCAAATCAAAACAACAATGAAATGTCATCTCATACTAGCATTAATAGCAAAGTTTCAAAAAAAAAAACCTCCAGGCAGGTTAGCATGCCCTAAATACAACCAGTTCACTCAGCAGCAGAGTAGATGGATGGAGGTGACATCTTTAAAATGTTGAAGGTACCTGTATCTCATCATCATTCTTAACGAATACCTTCATGAGGCACTTGAGAAGTTTTTTGAGTTTGGGGTTTTTTTATTGTTGTTTGTTTTTGTTTTTTGGTTGGTTTTCTATATTATCTTGAAGTTGACAAGAAATGATGATGCTAACTGGGTAAATTTCTTCTGTTGACCAACCCCTACTCTCCAACATTCCTGGCCTCTCCTCTCTGCCTCCCAAAGAATATTCCTTTGGTCACCCTAAAACAATCAGTACGCACTTTCATCTACAAGCTAGTCCTCTCCCAGTTCTTCTTTTCACTTAAAAATTATTATACTTCATCTCTGTTTTGATTTTTTTTCATCCAGAATGTGGTTTATAGAGTTGGGCATCAATTAGTACATCAGCCATCTATGGCATTTTCAGATCTGTTTTAATTTCTTCTACCTCTTCGAGGTGAGTGGCTTTCCTGAAGGCATACCATGTTACAATGTTTGGTGGTCATAAACTTAATGAATGATAGTTACTATCCACCATAATACATTAGCAACAAGTCCTCACCCCAAACTAAAAAGTCCAACTCAAGCCTTTCCAGGTTTTCCTAAAATGTGTCCTTACTGTCAGTACAGTTTCATCTATTACATAGAAAGCTACTCAAAATCAAAATCACAGCCATCCAGATGGTTCCAATGCAATGCAATCCTATATAGGGTTTTCGAGGCTGTATTCTTTATAGGGTCGGGTAAACATATCTTTCTTGTGGTTAGCAGTTCAAGGTGTATCCTACAGTGCCACCCATGTTCCTTATAGGAATACTTGTTTTCATTGTTGTTAAGTGCCATCGAGACAGTTCTGACTCATAACGAACCTGAATAAGGTTTCTGAGGAGTAACTGGTGGGTTTGAACTGCTGACTTTGTGGTTTGCGGTTCAGGGCTGATTCTACAGCACCACACCAGAGGACACTATAGATGCCTAAAGGGGAGCATCGTGGCTCTGTAGAATAAACACTGCACTGTGAACCACAGGTCAGCGGGCTGAGCCCTCCATCCACTACTTGTGAGAAAGATAAGACTTTCTGCTCCTGTAAAGATTTACAGCCTTGGAGCCCTATACAGCATCACCCTGAGTCAGACCAGATGTCACGACACTTAACAAAAACAACATAAACTCCTAAAACAGACTGGATAGATTTTCTATACAGCATCACCCTGAGTCAGACCAGATGTCACGACACTTAACAAAAACAACATAAACTCCTAAACAGACTGGATAGATTTTCTTCTCCAGATACTGAAATTGAGATGTGATGTGAGCAGGATTTAACCTGCAAGGGAAAGGATTTAGGATTATGTATAAGTCCTGGTATGGTTTGTTTGTCTTAATGTCGACAGTGGTCTTAGACTGCAAAGCCATCTGAACAGCAAGGTTGGGGTTCAAGCTCACCAACTGCTCCTCGGAAGCCCTATACAGGGTTGTTAAGGGTCGAACCGACTCAACGGTACTTAACAACAACAACATATATATTATAGAGTTTTGGTGTGGCACTGTGGGCTAATGCATCAGACTGCAAAGTTGTTTGAACTGCAAGGTCAGTGGTTCAAGCTCACCAGCTTCTCCTTGGAAACCCTATACAGGGTCGTTTTGGGTCGGAATCGACTGAACCGCACTTAACAACAACAACATACATAATATGCATTAAGTCGTGAGTTAGGCACTGAGTAAATGCAGAGATACTGGCAGTTGATCTCTAGGCTTCTTCATACTTAAACTTCTCACTGCCACTATATTTCTAACTGGGTTCCGCACCAAACTCATTTTCTGAGGATGGATATGGAAATATTAAGTTCAATACCAAGCTGAAGAAAATATGGAAGACGGAAGAGCCTAGAGGAGAAACTCAACGTCAGCACTAATGGCATTCTGGACAACATTAACGTGGTGGCTGTTTTGTGCTTTGTAAGATGTTCAGCACTATTGCTGGCCTCTACTCACCAGATTCCAGTAGCAACCACAGTCCAGTTGTGACAACCAAATGTCTCCAGATGATCTTCAAAGTATAAATTTTTCTCCATTCCAATAACACTGGGCTAAAGTTTGGTGTAGATAGTTTTCCAGGGAAATTATTAACCCTCTAATTGCTTAAGCACCAGGCTTTCTGCTAAATTATCTAGAACCTGAGCAATTTGGACTTAACTTTTCTTAACAAAATATTTGATTTGGGTCCACTTGTCCCTTTACACTAGTCACACTGGAAGACAGAGTCTTTTCTTAATTTCTCAGCTTTTAATATGTCAGGCATAGGGGTGCACAATTCATTTATGGTTTTACCAGAATTTACAGTTACTGCAAAAGAGACTTCATAAAGGGAATTTCAATTATGAATAATTCCAAAACCCTTGTGGCACTAAATCTGTTCTTACATTCCAGTATACAAAGAAATAGAGAATGGATACCTGCTCAGTTCTTCTTCCACCCTACCTCTTTTACCTATTCAGAAGGCCTTGTTATGTTTACTCTGTTCAGAAAGTCTCTCTTTCTTGGATGTGTTTTACAAACCAGAAAATGATGCATGAGAGAAGCTTCAAATCCAAGCTCTATTCTTTAGCAACTGTGCTAAGTTTTTTGAGCCTCGGCTTCCTAGTCAGAAAAATTGATGATAATACCTATAGCCCTAGGATAATATAGACAATGAATGAGGTACCATAATTACTGATTTTACAACAGTACTGACATACAATAGTATTTTTTAATAGCTTTGTTAGTTTTATTTTACAGTGAAACTGTTATAACAAGACATTGCTTTTAGATTCTTTCTCTCTTCTGATCGGTTTTCCACCTGCTGCCAGATTAATGCAACAAAGGCCATTCAGTTCCAGGACTCATAATGAGTGGCAATGTCTTCTCAGCACACCACACAATTTCCTTAATTTTTAATCAGTGCCAATATAATTTGTTTCACTGTTTTATGCCATTACATGATATATGTATTTCACAACCACACAGAGCTGCTGCTTTAAAAACACTAAATGTTACTACAGCAACAGACTTTCCTTAAATTCACAAATTATTTCTCTACATTGTCAACCTAATTCACCTCCATCCAAAGGTATGCTATAGCCATAAACGTAATTATGCCATTTCATTAAGCCACCATTAGCAGGGGATTTTTTGGTGGGGGGGATGTTCAATTTCTTGGAGGAGAGCCAGAAGTACCACTGATATGTTCACTGAAATATATTTTAAGTTAACTGTGCACATACCTATCTTGCTTGTGAAACTGTTACCGCATTGAAAGACTAGCTATCATATTTATATATTCATCCTACATACTCCCTAGCACCTTGACTACGGAAAAGAATTGAGCAGGTGCTAAAAGTTACTGGTGATGTAAGAAGAAAAAATGTTTCAATATAATCTGAAATTTCCTCTGTTTTTGTAAATGTCATCTACTCCAGGTATGGCCACCTTGAACCACACTGGGGTTAGCCACACAGTCTTTTACTTGCTGGGCATCCCTGGCCTAGAGGACCAGCACATGTGGATTTCCATCCCCTTCTTCATTTCTTATGTCATCGCACTGCTTGGGAACAGCTTTCTTATCTTCGTCATCCTTAGTAGGCACAGCCTCCATGAACCCATGTACCTCTTTCTCTGTATGCTGTCTGGAACAGATATTGTCCTCTCTACCTGCACGGTACCTCAGGCATTGGCCATCTTCTGGTTCAATGCTGGGGAGATATTCCTGGATCGCTGCATAACTCAGCTCTATTTCATCCATTCCACCTATATCTCCGAGTCAGGAATCTTGTTGGTGATGGCATTTGACTGCTACATTGCCATATGCTACCCACTGAGATACACGACTATACTTACAAACAGCCTGATTGGGAAAATTGGCCTGAGTGTTATTCTCAGAGGTTATGGCACAATTTTCCCCATAATATTTCTTTTGAAACGACTGACTTTTTGCAGAAATAACATTCTTCCACACACTGGTTGTGAGCACATGGGCTTGGCCAGATATTCCTGCGATGACATCCATGTGAACATCTGGTATGGTTTGTTTGTCTTAATGTCGACAGTGGTCTTAGACGTTGTGTTAATTTTTATTTCTTATATGCTTATTCTTCGTGCTGTCTTCCACATTCCTTCCAAAGATGCTGTCCAAAAGGCTCTCAACACATGTGGCTCCCATGTTTGTGTCATCATCCTCTTTTATGGCCCAGGCTTCTTCTCAGTCCTCTCTGGGCGGTTTGGACATCACATTTTACCCTATATTCATGTTCTGCTTTCCAATGTCTGCATTCTAGCAGCACCAATGCTAAATCCCATCGTTTATGGGATTAAGACCAAACAGATTCGGGACCAGGTGGCAAATATGTTATTTGCAAAAGTTGTATGACTCTGGGAATAGAAATCAAATTACTGTATTCCTAAAATTTCTAATCATATATGAGGTAGGCTTTAGTAGTTCTATTAGGGGATTGACAACTAAGACAGGGTAAATGACTCAGTGAGTCTATGTTTCAAAAGCAAGTCCATTAGGAGACATGCTTTCTAGGATCTCTACACTGCTAACCACAAGGTCGGCAGTTGAAACCCAACTGCAACTCTAGGAAACCATGTACTGAGTCACTAGGAATCAACACAATAGCACAGAACAACAACAATAAATGGTCATTTCTGATGACTTGTTGAGCTTTCTCATTCAGATTCTGAAGAATAAACCAGTTCATCACTTCAATTAAATACTAACTCTATAACCTAGATAGTTTTCTGGAAAGTGATAAACTACTCTTTTTAGGTTTGTTCATGCCTTGATGTATTGAAGAAATTCCCATTATTGTTATGTATCTTAAAGCATTGCTTGATGTGTTTTATGATCTGTCCTCTACTCCCATCAAATTTTTCTTATACACAGTCTTATTTCAATCTGCACACAGCGGTTATTTTTCCTACAGACAGGAAGAAAGAAAGAAAAGTATGGAGAATGAAAGGAAGAAAAAATTATTGTATCCAAATGTCCCTAAAGCTCTATGATCTCTGTCTCTCTGTCTCTTTCTGTCACTCTCTTTCTCTCTGTCTCTCTATCCAGCTATCTATTTCTTTCTCTAACTCTGTATCTGTCTTTTGTTCTCTCTCTCCATTGCAGTACAGCACCTTGAAAGACTCAATGTCTTCCTCCATATTTTTCTTAATTTTACCCAAATCATACTTTTCCCCATTTGCCTGTTACAGTGACTTTCACACTACTGAAGGTCAGGATTCAATACCTTCTTCCATGTTTTTCTAGATTTTACCCCAATCATACATTGCCCTACACCACTGCATTACCTATTACATCCATTAATACTCACTCTTATATATCAGCAACACGAGGTATACTCAAGCATGCTCTCGTTCTTCAAAATTCTCACTCATCCCACCTCCTTCATATTATTATGATCAAGCTCTGTCTCCTTTGATGGGTTTCCCTCACCTCCTTGACATTTTAACACTGAAAAGTCCAGGGCCCAGTCCTTGAATTCTTATTCTTCTGTATCTATAGTCACCATTCTATTTCTGGATTCAGTTCAGGTTTTCTCAACCTCAGCACTTTAGTCATTTGGGAACAGTTAATTCTGTTGTGATGTGTATCCTTGCATTGATAGCAGGTTTAGCATCACCCCTGGACTCTACCAACCAAATCACTCCTCAACTCCATGTGTGATGACCAAAAATTGCCACAGACAGTGCCAAATTTCTCTTGGGCAGGATGAAAAAAACTCACCTCAGTAGGTAACTAAGACAATTAGCAACCATCATAAAATGTTTTTGTTAGTACAAAAATTTCTTCTTGACTTTTTATAAAGTGTTCTATGATTAAGTGGTCTCCTTTTGTGATTGGTTTATTTCACTAAGCATAATATCCGGCAGGTTTATCCATATTATGAAGTTGATGTTGAATGATAGTCCATTGTGTGTATATATCATAGTTTTTTTTACCAATTTCCATGGATGAGCATTTAGATTGTTTACATGTTTTTACTATTGTGAATCATGCCGGTATGAAACTTCAGTGTACATATGTCTATTTATGTCACCACCCTTATTTTTCTAATACATATACCAAGTATTGGGATTGCTGCATAATATGATATTTCTAACCCTTTAAGTAAGTGCCAAACAATTTCCCACAGTGTTTGCACCACTTTACAGACACATCAGCAATGAATGAGGATATCAGTCTCTCTACACCCTTATATTTTGTCACTCATTAATATTCTCTTTCATGGCTAATAAGTTTGTACTCTGACTTCAAGAATGATCTAAATTCTTACCTTTTTGTTGGATACTGTTGAAAACATGCTGCACACTAGATAGTAGAGACTGATGATTTCTTGATGAGGAAATAACATGTTCATGTTTAAATATATATATTTGTTTAGTAAGTCAGATATACTGTAAAAATAAAATCTTTATTTTTTTCAATGTCGAGATATTCACAGGTAATGTCATTTTAGAAAACATTACTGTTGTGTATGTATGTACAGGTAAATATTTGTTTAAAAATAGAATATATTACACCCACTGTTCTGGAACCCACTTTACACCGTAATTTATTGTGGGCATATTTCCATACCAAAAATAATAACCTCTGTAGGAATTTTATATTGGTTTCATTGCATTCAGTACAAAGATATGCCATATATAAAATAATAAAATATACTCTTGTCAAATAAATTCTTACATTACATCTTATTTATTTGTTGTTTCTCCCCCAATCAAGAACAATGAGGCATTTCATATATGGTGTTTCTGGTGCTCCTATAACTGTTCATCAACCCTGTGTTCAACATTGCCTGATGCCGAGCCATCTTCACAACTATTGAGACATTTGAGCCCTTTGTTGCTGCCACTGTGTCAATCCATTGCATTGTGGGGGGCCTTCTTCTCACAGTAAGGGAAGTTAGAAATCCAAATTCAGAGTGCCAACTCTGAGAAGGTTCTTTTTCTCCTTTCAGTGTTTGTAGGCCCAGCATTCTTTAGAGATTTTCATGTATCGATTCAAAGGCACTTAACAACAAGAACTATAGATAGATAGATAGATAGATAGATAGATAGATAGATAGATAGATAGATAGATAGAGATATATCTATATTGATATATACAGATATATCTATATATAGATATATAGAGAGAGAGAGAGTTCTTGTTGTTAAGTGTCATCGAGTCTTTTCCAATTCATAGCAACCCTGCATAAAGTTTCTGAGGAGGAGCTGGTAAATTTGAACTACTGACCTTGTAGTTCAAATGATCTTGTGGTCCAGTGCATATCCTACAGCACCATACTAAGACTACAAAACATATAGATAGATAGATAGATAGATAGATAGATAGATAGATAGATAGATAGATAGATAGATAGATAGACAAATAGATGGTAAGTAAAGCTGGGTCATTTCCAACTCAAAGCGACCATGTATAGGGTTTCCAAGGAGCTACTTGAGGGTTTGAACTGCCATCATTGTAGTAAGTGATCTGGTATTTATCCTACAGTGCCACACCATATACATGTGAGTGTGTGCTGTAAATGTTGGGAGTACCGTGGCTCTATATGATAAGAACTGGACTGCAAACCACCAGGTCAAGAGTTCCACCAGCCCCTCTTCAAGAAAAAGATGAGGTTTTCTGCTTCTGAAAAGATTTAATACCTCAGAAAATCTATACAAGTCAGTATTGACTGAACAGCACTTAACAGCACCAGGTGCTGTTTTATATATATATAGCCATGAATACATAAACTATATATGTATAATTTATGTATACATGAATATAAATACATATGTGTGTGTGTGTGTGTGTGTGTGTGTGTGTGTGTATGAGTCTTGGTGTGGTCTTTCATACAAGTCTTCATCTCTTGTAGTGCCATGCATGACTTCCAGTAACAGCTGTTCCTCTTATGTGTCAAACTCTGAACTTATCACAAAAACGAAAATGGTTCAGTTGGGCAGTATTTGTTATATCCGTTGTTTTGTCACAAGCCAGCGAGAAAAATGGGAAATCTCCTGCAGAATCCTTCAATGTTTTTTCAATATCTTGTACTTAGTCAGAAATCTCATCTGAGATAAGACAAATTAACACTCTGAAACAATTTTACTCTGTCTGGTGCTAACAGCTCTATAGCAGCCACCATGCACTCTCTCTACGAGTCCTCAGCTTCTTTGAGAGTAGATCTCTAGCTACAAAACTTGTCTGAATAATGTTGTCTCTGCCACAACAATACCTAGTTAAAGATGCTTGTTGTGATTCCAAATTCTTGTGAAAAGCATTGATTTTTATCCAGATGCAGCTGCCCTCCCAAATCATAGATGTTAGCATGTTTTGAGCTGTAATAATGCTTCAGATTGGCTTTTTTTCATTACTGCCACAAACTAGGCACATAGGTTTGACTTTGACTTCAACAAAAAAATAATCACTTGTCTTGGAAAGATAGATACTCTGCATCAACTTTTTTTTTCTTTGTAGTCACCATTTGTAGGTTGTCACACAAATTTAAATTTTAATCCCTATCCAGTGTTTTTGTCACCAGTGACAAGATTATTTTGCTTTGATCACTGTTCTAATCCTGCATCTTGGATTTGGAACATATTCAATGTCAGTAACGTTGACTCTTGAGGGTTTTTTCTATAGTCCAAAATTACCTTAATCTTCATCTAAGATTCAGTTCTTACAAATATTGTTGATCATGGACATGCAGATAAAGATTGTATTGGAATTATCATCTAGGTCAACAAACAATTTGACAATATTGTTGTCAATCATCTGAGGCAAGTTAATCAATGTTGCAAGGAATCATCTCATCCAATCTCATCTCATCATCACCAGATCACTGTAGTTTTGCCACCATGTGTTAAAGCTTTCTTAGCATGTACGCTTCCAGCCTGTCTGACACTGACTGTCCTCTTAGTCAATGCAATGGACCACAGGCAGCAGATTAGAAGTATATATGTCTGTCTTGTCATGTACTCTCATGCGTCAAGTCTATCCCGTAATGGACGATCATGGCTTGTCCCTCAATATTTATGTTGCTATTATGATTCACTTAATATAAATATCCAAGATTTATAGAATTTCAAGTACCGCCTGAGGTTGCCTTGGCAATACCAGGCCAAATGATTTCAAGGGCATTACATGGCCTGTGGGTAGATGTTCCCCAACTCTGATATAGATGAATGTATATTCAAGGGTTATTTCTAAATTGCTTTTTGTCATGTTATGTTTTTACATTGGAGAAATATTAATATAAACAGATGGGAATTACTTCTAAAATGTTAAAAGTATAGATATTACATAATGGATATACTAAGATTTATAAGAAGAACTGGACAATAACAGTCATTCAAAGCATAAAAAACACC